TGGGGTCTCCCGGCTCTCACTCTACCCATGGATGCCCCGAATAAACACCTACTGAAGAATCAATTCCATCCAAGAGAAATTCAGAGACAAGCTGAGAGACTCCTACCTGCAGGCAACTGTTTGCCATAGAACTCTGAAAGCACTGCCTGTTGCATGACTGCGCAGCCCCGGTATAAGGTCTTACTGGGTATTTTTATTGTAGAAGTTGATGTTAGGGAAATACTATCTTTCCCTAAGGAATGGCGTCTTTCCTTCGGCTGGAATAGAATGGCAAATCTACAGTCTAGCCTGTTTACCTTACCCACCAACTTCGGGAACTTAGAACCAAATTTGAAGGTAAAACAGACAGTGGTTACACTGCCTGGGCTGGAACCCCAGTCACCTGGGTTGGTGGCCACAGATAAGGTATTTAACAAATCTCTTCGTGCCTCAGTTTGCTTATCTGTAGCTGTGGGGTGGGTCTGTGACTCAGCGTGTGGCGGGGGACCTGTTTTAAGTGCTTCAAGCATGTGGGGTTACTATCTGCTATGATTTTTATCCTCAGAGCTACCTCATTGACCCTTCGTTGGTGTATTTGCATTTTCTTTTCCTTAGTTTCTAATTTCTCTTTCTGCCTGATTTTGTTTTAATCTATACATTTTTGAGGTAAGTCTCCTTAAATCTAATATGCAAAGAGGTTGCTCATGAGGGTGCTCAGTCTTCTCTCCCTCTGTGTCCCAGTGTCTTCCATGCAGCGTCCTATCTGCTGGAGCTGGTTCTGGTTTAGTGGAAGTGGTTTACCTCGGCCAACGTGGTCACCAAGTCTGTGCCACAAGGTGAAGATGAGGAACAGGTGGGTTTCCTCTTACCACAGGCGAATTCTTTGCAGTATGCCACAGTGGCGTCAAGGGGTTCTGATGGAATTCCGCTGGTCCTGCCCACAAAAGTTCTGGAGAAAACCAGTGGTCTATGTGACTGAGAGAAGGTCTGGTTCTGGAATCTTCCCCACGTGCTGAGGGTTCTGATTTTTCCCCGTCCCTTTTGCCTGGAGTGAGGACACGTTCTTATATCTGGCACTGGAGTGCTGGCGTGGGAAATGTCTGTTTGACTACAAGACTAAGTCTGCATCTTCCCTTTAGCTCTCTGGGCATGTTGGGGGCTGGGTGCCTAATTCCTAGCAGTGGCTCAGTCTTCGTCTTCTTGGCCAATAGTCCCCTCCTCCCTTCGACTCAAGATGCCCAGTGCCTCGGGCAGCTGCCTCTCTTTCCTCCATCCCATCTGTTTTCTCTGCCCTCTACTTTGCTTGTACAACTGGGAGACCCTAATTGTTCCTGTGGTTTGGCTCAAAGAGTATGTCAAGGTCTTCTCTGGAAATGGCATTGATAGAATCAGAGATAAGAAGATCCTTCTTGTGTAGCAGGAAATAGAGGAATTCAGGAGTTTTGGCTACTGACTTTCCCACCAAATATTTGTGATCGATATGTTATTTTTTCCTAATAAATGCCTTAATACTGTATTGTTTTTAAACTAAAGGTATATGTTTCATAAAGAGCTTAATGATTGATAATTGAGATTTCTTTTTAGTTTGCCAAGTGCAAAACTAGTAACTAAAGTATTTGCTCAGCATTTTTGACACTTCCAAAACTTTTAGAATAAATAATAGCTTGAATATTCTAAACGTGCACCACTTCCTTGTCTTTTTCTCTTCCTCAACTCATTCTAAAAGAATCCGGGATATGTTATGAATACATAAAATTTTCTTTTTTAATGGATAACTGGAGCAAAGGGCAAATAAATGGAAGAAATACAATATGAAGCCAAAGATTGAAAGTCCCCCAAGTCAGTACCAACTCCGATGGTGTACTGGCAAAAGAAACAGCCAGGCTTGGCTTCGGGGATGATCCCTGGTATCTGTGACAACAGGAGAAGGTTTGGGGCCTACGTGGCTATGATGTGTCCTCATCAGCAGGGTGAGGACAGATCACCCTTCTCGTCCCCTCAGCAGCTGGAGACAGCTGATTACAAGCAGAGCTGGGAGAGCTTCGTATGGCTACACGACTGCCGCCTGGACTCAGACCTCTCCAGCGAGGCCAAAATCCAGCACCTGTGTTAGTCTGAGGTTGGTGTTTTTCTTCTTTTCAAGATGCTTATAATCTGTGAATATTGGCATTTGTGAAACTTTGTCTATTAGGGCGTATTTATGCAGTTTAGGGAATTAAAAGTAAAAATGTGTTGCAGTTCTTCTCTCCCCATAGAGAAAGGAATAATTGTTGAAAGAGGTGGCCATAGATCCCTGCTGGTGGAGTGACTGTCGAGAGCAGGGGGAGGAGAAGGGAGAGGTCCCCCGCACCCAGAAAGAACACCTGTGCTGGAAGGGAATGCAGGTCCGAGGTCTCTTACCTACAATTCTAAAATCCAAGGGTTTTGACACTCATTTCATGGCAAGACCTGGCTTGTGCGGATGGGAGGCTGCTGAGTGGGCGTCTTTATCTACCCGCCTTTATTCACTTCGCCGTGTGCATTATCTCTGTGAGTTTTATTTCCACGCAGTGTCATGCTAGGAGCTGGGGCAGTGAGAGGAGCAGATGGCATGTTCGTAGTAAGAACTCCTTACAAACCTCAGAGCAGCTGACCACAGTGCTTTCCCTTAACTCACGCCCTTCTGACACTCTGTTACATAGCTCCCCAAGGCCCATCAGGGAGGGCGGGGTGGGCCTTACTGGTCCTCCTTTGTAGACTTCAGTGACTGATACCCTGTGCAGGATTTTGCTATGGTAAATGCCCAGGAGCAGTCTGCTCCTCTGGTTGGGGGTGACAGGCTTCTCTTCTTTGAGCACACTCAGCTCTTATATGTTCAAGCTTATGCCTCCTAGAGGGATCCCGTTACTAACATGTCCTTTGAGCCATGCTATAAAAGCAATTCTTTCTGTACTGGAACCTGAAAATATGTGACAAGGTTTGAAAACAAGTACTGAGCAGCCGACGTGGGGAACACCTGCAGATGAGAACACAGGTTGGTGACTCCAGGAGATGGGTTTTAACTACTGACTTTGAGAAGAGCCATGCCACCGTTTGGCCTGTAGCTGGTCACCTGGCCGAATGGTGTGTGCTGGTTATGGCAGAGCTTGGGTGGTCTGTCACCTTTGCTGCTTTAAAATGGAAACAAGGTAGCTCTTCATAAATTCCAGGTTGGACAGGTCACAGATAACCTGGTTGGTGAATGTGTGTGTAGGTCGATAGATTTTCAACCTCTTTCATACTGCCCTCGTGCAAAAGCAGTGCTGTCTGAGACCTTTTGTCTGCCCTTAGTTCACTGCTAAGACCCAGAAGTCTTGTCAGGAGGTGCGCCTGGCTCTGGGATGGGAGGGAACATCCTATGGTGCCGACAGGACACATACCTGTTTCATTTTGCATTTCTGTGATAATTTGGATGACATACATTGCTCTTCATACTTTCTGCTTTCTTGTTTGTTTATTTATTTGATTTATTTCTATTTTTATTTTTTTTCTAAAAGATGACTGGTAAGGGGATCTTAACCCTTGACTTGGTGTTGTCAGCACCACGCTCTCCCAAGTGAGCTAACCGGCCATCCCTATATGGGATCTGAACCCGTGGCCTTGGTGTTATCAGCACCACACTCTCCCAAGTCAGCCACAGGCTGGCCCTTGCTTTCTTGTCTAGAGTTCAGAAGGGACATCTGTGTTTTTCTCAATCTTAATGGCATTGCTTTAAATACGAAGTAATACTTTTCATTGTATACACTTGGAAAATACAGAGGAAAAAAAGGAAAATGAAGATCATACGTCACCCACCGTTAACATTTTCATTAAGTTCTTCCTCAGTTTTTTGTTTTTTAAAATGTATGTATGCATGTTATTTTTCTTTGGGGCCTAAAGATACTTGTGTGTAAAATCTTTGCAAAATTGGGATCTAACTGCATATACGGATTTATATCTGCTTTGCTCTATATCACTAAATGGTCTTTACAGATGTGATTCATGGCTGTATACCTTTTTACCATTGTTGGCTTTTTCTATGGTTGTATATTTCAGTTGTTTTCTACTTTTTCATGGTTGTGAATTACATTGTACAGCACGTTCTTGTTTGTAAATTATGATCCATAACATGGCATATTTCGTAGTATCCATTTGGGGTTCTGGAATGATTGGGTTGTATTATGAAGCCTGCTGGTACACAGGTAGACTGATTGATGGCACATACAGCCTAGCAGAGATGTGCTGGAATAGGCTAGTGCTAAACGGAAATAATAACTATCAAATTAAAAAACTGCTTTGCTAGTCACATTTGGATTCTGAATGTGCACACTAATTATATCAGCCCGTCGGGTTTGTCAGAGGTGATTCCAGGTACAAAGACAATGTCAGTTCTCAGGCAGCAGCTTTAAATGTTCAGGTGTGGGCTCTATAATTAATAACAGTAGCTGATTATCACAGTAAGATCCTACAGGGACCTAGCCTATCCAAAGAGTCAACAGAGGATTCCTCACACATTACTAATAATCCTTCCCTATTGTGAGGAAGAGACAAACGTACATCTTGGCCTGGATGTGTGTTGTATGATTTTTTTTCTGATTTTTTTTTTTCTTAACTAATGCTTTTATGCCTGCCAACGTTTATGGGTCCTCACTGATGACTCTCAGAACAGTTGCTGGGTTGCCAGCCTCAGGGAGAATGCGCTGTCCCCCCGCCCCACCCCTGCGTCCTTGGTCCCTGTCACTCTGGTCACTGGCAGCAGGCGGAGCCTTTGCCTGCTCTCGTGGTGGACTGGAGGACTCCACCTGCCCCCCGCCTGGGTCCAGGCTTCCTTTCCTCCCACAGACTGCGCAGCTCTCCACGTCCCTCTGAAGGGGCCGGTTTCTCTTCTGTGACATTCAGGGGCCCATCTGTGGCCAGTTGAGACTCGTCATTCCCTTGGGGAGGCTCAGCGGGAAGCCCTTTTGCTGTATGGGTTTGGAAATCAATAAGCTGAGAACTGCTCAAATGTCTCCATTGTTTTCTAGAAAAGAAGAAGCTGAGGAGGGCCAGGCCATCGCGGGACTGGCGGGAGCGAAGGAATGCCATCCAGCTCACCAATGAGCACACGGTGGAGACACTGGTGGTGGCCGACGCCGACATGGTGCAGTACCATGGGGCCGAGGCTGCCCAGAGGTTCCTCCTCACCGTCATGAACATGGTGAGTCTGCGGGTGGGGTCCTGACATGGGTGTCTCTGTGTTCTTGAGGAGTGCTCTGAAAGCAGGGGCTGTGCCCTCTCCACAAGGGAGGAAGAAGCTGGGTTGGAGGATGGGGACACATAGCCTCATGATTTGGGGGCATCGTGGAGGGCAGGAGACTAGTGTGTGTCCCAACGGGACAGGGGCTGACCACTGGCTCCACGCTGGTGTGGTGGTGAAGTGCCTGGGTCTGCTCAGTGATTGGGCCACTTGGTACCAGAAGGCTTCCCAAGACCCCTGCTATGTGCGAGACCCTCTCCAAGGGGTGTTCAAAAATGAGCGCTCCGAGGAGCCAACAACCTAGTAGAAAGAATCAAAATGTAAATCTAAAATAAACAGCAGAGAGACCGACTCTCCAAAGCAGAGAGTTTATTTGGGAATAGCAGGGGGTTGCAATCTGGGATTCACGGGCAGATCTGTGATGGATCATGGGCATGTTCAGGGAAGCAAAAAAGGCAAGGGTTTTTCAAGGAAAAATGAGCGAGTTACATTAGTTATTTTAAAACAATTATCTTTGGCTACAAGGATTAATAACAGGTTGATGTCCTTTCATCAGAGGAACAGGCAGTGGCTGAGCAGGCATCCTCGTGGAAGTAATCTTTGTGCAACGTTGTGGTTTAGGCAGAGTCTCTTGTGACAGTTCCTGTCATCAGGCAAATGTGCGTGAGGGCCCTCCCTTCATGGCCTCCTGGCTCCACTTTGTCAGGGTTTGACATAAGTGACTCCGATTCGGTATTGACAGTTTCACAAAAATCAAACTTTAATGGGAAACAGCACTTGTGGTATGCAGGAAGGGCCTGGCAGAAAGCGAGGAGAGAGGTTACGTGGTCGAGGGAACCAGGGAAGGAGTCATGAACCTCACGAACCTGTCTACATCTGATTTATTGAATAGGGGTGGCGAGGGGCTAGGCTCAGATATTAGATGCTGAAGGATCTTCAGAGGCATCCTAACTGCACCTATCCATCCATTTTCCTAAAAAGTGTTTTTGAAGACTTTCAAAAACCTTCGCCATTGTGCTAGGGACCCTGGATACAAATGCCTCAATAGAGCAAATAGAGCATCCATGTTACAACAGAAATATCTGCAGGAACCCCTGAGGTCCTGGTGGGGGCTGGCTAGTGGTCATCCTGCAGCATGGAGGCTTCGTGTAAGAGCAGACCCTTGGGCAGAGACAGAGTAAATGAAGTGCTTACAGACTGGGTGGGGTGCGAGACCACACAGCAGGCACAGCAGAAGTGGGGCCCAGGGGATGTCAGCTCCGTGTGGGGAGGGCAGTGGTTTGATAGGGAGTGAAGGAGCCTTACGGGTGTGCGTGGAGGTGTGGACAGGGCAGGGTGTGGGAGGGTGGGTAAGACATCCGAGGAGTGGGGGCTGTACCCCAGGGGGGTGCTGCAGGCAAAGGGAACAGCGTGTCCAGGGCGATGTCTGGAGGAACAGCCCCAGCAGCCGCGTACGGGGTGGAGTGGATTCGCAGTGGCAGGTAGGAGCATTGGGATGGAGCGTGCATGGGGAGAGGGTCTAAACTGAGCAGGCAGGAGTGTGGGTGGAGGAGGTGCAGGGAGGCTGGAGAGGCTGGAGGAGGCAGTGAGAGGAATCCAGGCCCCATGTGGGCTTCACACTGGGTACCTGGTAGATGGTGGAGCCACTGCCTGAGGAAAGGGAAAGCAGAGTGTTTGGGGACATGGTGAGGAGTTCCATCCTGGACAAGCTGAATTCAAAGTCCCCGTGGGAGATCAGGATGGAGGTCTGGGCTGGAAATAGGGACCTGGGGTTTTTCAGCCTAGAGCTGGTAGCTGAAGCTGTGGCAGTGGCCAGTGTGCCCGGGTGAGTAGAGAATCTGTCAGAGACAGCACCATGGAGCAGCAGCCCTGGGGGCTGGGGCAGAAACCTGGAGGAGGTTGTCCCTAAGGACAGGTGCAGGAAGGGACTAGTTAATGATGCTGGATGCTGCGGTTGGGTCCCTGGTGGAATAGCATTAGGGATTGTTGTGGGTGGATGCTTGCCAGGGACAAACCAGGAAGTGAATGGGAAGTGTGGAAGTAGAAATGGCACTTGCAGGCGATCTTGGCCAGAGAGAGGAGAGGAGAGAGAAGGGCCGAGCTAGGTAGAATCAGGGTCAAGGAGGACTTTGTAGAGGAAAGGGGAACAGAGGTCATGAACACAGGGTTTAGGCTCCAACAGGCCTGAGCTTGGACCCCTGCTCCGCCGCTCACTGCAGAGGACCTGTCTGAGCCTGCTCCTTGTCCACAAGGCAAGGTTTAGCTTCTGTCACTGTGAGTGCTCAGTGTCTGGCAGCAAAGGGTCCTGTCCTCATGGAAGGGTAGTGATAGAAAGGGCAAGGTTAAACAGCGCAGTTGCAAGGGGGCGTGATTGAGGGCTGAGGCACTGGAGGGGATGGCCGCAGTGGGTTGTGTGTGGGGGTGGGAAATGACATGGCTCAACCCCCAGAACCTGCAGGGTCTCAGAGCCAGGTACAGCCAAGGTTTCAAGGCCTAGAGAAGGTGCAGTGCTCAGGCTGCAGCCGGTGCCCTTGTTGGGCTGGGTGGTGAGCTCTGGAGTGCAGGGGACCAGTGCTGGGGAGGGAGTTGGCTGTGATGTGAAGCCTCAGGGAGGGGCCTCAGAGTGACTTGGAGACCTTGTGGCTGGATACGGTCTGCAGGTGGCTCTTTGCACATTTGGGTGTTCTGTTGCTAGGGGGTTCCTCTGGGGCTTTAGTGAGGCCGTGGGTGGGGGAGGGCTTAGGAACATCAGGGGTTCCTAGTGCTCTGTTCCTGCTGGAATCGCTGCTCTGGTCGCCTGGAGCTGGGGCTGGAACAGCTGTGAGGCCAAGTGGCATGCAGCGGCCTAGACAGAGGATGCCAGGACTTGTCGGAACAGGACCCACAGCTCGTTTCCCAGAAGCTGAAGGAGGCCCAGGAGCAGGGAGGCTCAAGGACATCGCCAGGGCCACACAGGAAGTTGCTGGCTTCAGGGAAGTGGGTGTGGATGAGCCCCATCCTGGGCCCTGTGGGTTGGGATCCCCCCTAGTGACCCTGACTGTATGAGGACAGGTCTTTGGCACCTGGTCCTCTGTGGCCCGGCAGACTCACCGGTGCTGGCTCTCAGGACACAGCCCTGTGAGGGACTTCCCACCTCATCTGTGCCCCTCACACATGCTGTGCTCTGGGCTGGGGCTGTGTGGGTAGCACACTGAGAGCCTTCGTGCTGAGTTGTTGGTTGGCCTCCATTTCCTCACGTGACAGACCCTGATGTAAAGCACACTGGCCATGGAGGCCCCAAAGCCCTCGGCTCTGATCTGTTTTCAAAATGTGGACTCCATGTGTATACCATGAGGACACTGGTTCCCTGCCCCAGCTTTCTTTCAAAGACATAAGCCCTGAGAGTTTCACTGAGGTTTTTTTTTTTTTCCCAACTTTTTACAGGTTTTTTTTTTTAATTGTGGTAAAATACATATATAATATAAAACTTACCACTGAATCATTTTTAAGTGTATAGTTCAGTGACATTAAGCATATTCACCCTGTTGTGCAACCACTGCCAACATTGACCTCCAGAACTCTTCTCATCTTGCAAAACTGAAACTCTGTCCCCATGGAACAATAATTCCTCATTTCCCCTCCCCCAGCCCCTGGCAACCACCATTCTGCTTTGTGTCTCCATGAATATGACAGCTCTAGGTACATCATGTGAGTGAATCACACAGTATTTGTCCTTTGGTGGGCAGGTGGCTTATTTCACTTATCATCACATCCTCAAGGTTCATTCATGTGGCAGCACGTGTCAGAATTTCCTTCCTTTTTGAGGCTGAATGATATTCCATTGTATGTGTATGTATCATGTTTTGATTATCCACTCATCCGCTGATGGACACTCAGGTTGCTTCTGTCATTTGTCTGTTGTGAATAATGCTGCTGTAAACATGGGTGTACAGATATCTCTGCGTCTCTGCTTTCAGTTCACTACCCAGAAGTGCAATTGCTTTTGTTAACTTTTCATGGTGCTTGGCCCTAGTTTCTGAGAAATCTCTCTGTGTTCTTTGTTTGTACATACCTACGTCTCCTGGGTAGCTGGTTAACAATGGCTGCAATCCTCAAGTCGGCATGGAGGAAGCTGGCGAGGAGGGCTGGTGGGGCCTGGACCTGCACCAGACTGTCATCTGCAAATCATTGCATCTCATTTATTTTTTTAATTATCCAGGGTACAAGGGCAAGTAATGAACATGCATTATAAGAGCTCAGGTGATAATAAGGCAAAGCTTCTACTTTGATCTTTGCTTTTACAATTTATTATCTGGGCAGGGGCAGTTGTTTTATCATAGGCAGGGAGGGGGAGGGGACGGGGATGGTACACAGAGACGTCCCCCCGCCACCACCACCCCCACTGGGCCGTAAAGACCGGAGGACAGGGACTGGGTGGTTCTGTTCCTTGCCTTTAATTCGACATCCTTCACTCTTCTTCAGCTACTTGTACTAAGATGTCAGAGGCTCCAGATCCCACTGCCAAGGGCAAATCTGGGGCCAAATACATTAAATTTGGATTTAGATGTTTCCTGAGGAGGCCTACCTAATAAGGGCAATCCCGCTGTGTAAAGGGCATGGTGTAATGACACCTAGTGGCACTTCAGTCATCTGAACTTGGGGTTTCTGGGCCAGTCTGATTAAGGCTAGAAGGTGGGAGCCGAGTCTCCAGATGCACTCCCAGGACAGGCTCTCACCACAGCCCCCCTTTCCTGCTGCTCCAGCCCTGGTCGCCATTCAGTGAACTGAGCAAGGCACAGTCAGACGTCATGCCCTGTGGATGAGACCGTCCTCCATAGCCCCATCCTTCTTCAGTCTCTGAGATCCTAGTTAGGAAATCCAGAGAATTTGCATTTTCCTCCTGCTTGTGGCTGTTTTAGAAAAAGGATTTCAAGTGAGATAACCTTTAAGCCGAGAGGAAGGGAGAGGATTTTGGCTGGGAT